CGACCTAAAGATACATAAACGCCATGAGCACGAGATAGAGCAGAGAGAAAGACGCAGCAACACACCAACAACCGCCCAGTTCCTCGTACTCGGAATCCTCAACGTCTCACACTCCACCACCCACCCGCAATGCACACTCAGCGTTGCCAGCCAGATCCGATACATCGAATACGAGCTAGCGTTGCTCCCATCCCCACCAAGGTTAAGGCTCTCGGTAAACTGCTCCATCGTCATCCCAAAACCCTCAGGTAGTGGATACACAGATGAACTGTCCCTTTCGAATTTAGTATCGAACTTCCACGCACAACACGGGATGGAGAGGTACCCAGCTGCATCATGCAGCGTTGCTAGGACTGGGATCCAGGGCGTTAATTCGTCAGCGTGATTGCCAATAATAAACGCGTTTCTGGGGCTGATAAAGGATGGATCCAGAGCTTCGTCAGTGGGGTTGAAAGCGTGGACGTGCAGCTGAGCTTGAGTTTCAATGGGGTAGTGTGACCAGGACGCACGTGCCCGAAGATCAACGCCTGAGCCCACGTAGCCTTCTGCTGTGAGGATATGCGTGAGGAGTCCATTTCCGCATCTACCACGGAGTAGTCAACAAGTGAGTGATTGGAAGAGGGGAAGTCGTACCCCAGGTCTAGAAAGCCCCCAGGTGGTCGTGGCCAGCTCTTCCAGGGTTCTTCAGCCGAATCGACCATCGTTGATCCCGAAGTCGAGAAGGTGTCCTTCCACAAGAGCATCAAGTAGGTTGCGATCCCAATATCCTAACTGGTCCGTTAGGTATTATCCTAAAGGAGGAACCGAGTACTGAACACACACCTCGAAAACATGCTTCAATGGATCCGTAACTTCCTGCCACGTATCCACCAGCGAATTGTGTCGCTCCCTCATAACTAGGTACAGATCCTGATAAGCCTCCCGCAAGACTAAACAGTCGTGCTGGACCCGCTTCTTGTAATTTGTCATTGCGCCCCATCCATATCGATGGAGTGTTTCTAGGAGGGCTAGACAGGTGCGGTATAAGCGGGAGTTTGGATCCGTCGGGGTATTTGGCAAAGGGAGTGCTTCGATACGGAGCCTGGGCAAAGTATCGGTGTTTATGGGCGAATGGATGTAGCGGAACGCAATGTGCGATACGGAGGGATGGTAGTAGGGTAGCGACGCGCCTGGAGCCACGATGGGGGTAAGGATAAGCGTGTCTGGGTTTCCGGACTCGGAAGCATGAAGGGAGCAGTATTGTTCCAACGCCGCATCTCTTCCGGGTCTTCTAGGCAAGAGTCGGCGATGTATACATTGGACAGGGTGGTATCCCTCCAAACGCGGAACGGCTTCCGCGAATTCTGACTCTGGTTCTTCAACAACTTCCGATCTCAATACATCTCAGACCCTTACGATTTCAATCGGGAAGTTGGCGGGGCAAGAGATGATGGGTGTCCAAGTTGTACCATCGTGCATCAAAGCTGGGGTAAAGTTTTCCGTGGGATCGTACTGAACGGGCTCGAACCGAGGCCTTTGAGCGGCGCCGTTGCCCGACATCATCAGCAGTCTACACCAAGATTAGCGTGTCATCTTGGTGAAGCCCAATGAAACGTACAGTACATGTAGAACGGCTAATACTCCAGGCAGCAGTCTGTAACACCAATAACTGAACACTCGTCAGGTAGGGAGTTTTTACAGCACGAGATAGGGGGAGGGGAAATGGTGGTGGTTATACATCGAATAAAAAATTCGACGTAATCGATTCTCACGCGTCTTCACAACGCTGCCCCCCAAAATCTGCGTAGGAATTCTCTATATCACAAAAGACATGGACTGTAACTTTGCGTTCATACAGATTTATCATTTGATACACATTTTCGACAAAATAGCTGCGAAAAAGCGACCTTGGAGCTATTCACTGGCAGCGAGGACGACTTCTTCATGTGTCCAGATACTCTGCTCGGGAAATATTTTTTGGAAAGGTGTAGAATTTGTATCGATGACTGCATGCGCGAACTTGGCGAGAACGTAAGTACAACAGACGCAAAAACGAACCTTTGTGTACGCCACCGTGACATGACTTCAGACTCACACCTCGACGAAAACTAAGCCAACACGCCCACCCACCTCCAATACCCCACACTCGCCCTGAGCAACTCCTCCGAGACCAACCCCTCCTCATTCCCTCCAACAAACTCCCTAAACGCCGCCGAATCCCTCCCCGTCCCATACATACAAAACCCAACCAGCCCAACTCCCAACCTCCCAAATTCCTCTTCCAGGAACCTCGTGATCGGAGTAGCTGGCAGGACTTCCTCGCTTTTCCGAACGCATGCTATCCATTGTTGGAATGGTATCAGGGGGAGGGGAGTGGCGGTACCACCGAGGAGAGAGGCGAGGGTGTGGGTTATATGGGGCCAGGGGCGTCGTATAGGGTTCTCGAGGTGATATATTTGTTCGAAGGATGGCGAGAATAAGAGGTCGATGAGGATTTCGCTTGCGCGGTCAACGGGGAGCCATGAGGCTGTCTACCACACGAAAACATCCCATCAAATGGGACATAAAAACGAGTACGGAAAGACTCACCCCCCGCAAATCAGGCACAACCCCCAAACTCTGCATAGTCCTCACCATTAACGAGACATGCTCCCATTCATTCCACGCTCCTTTTTCTGTCGTGCCTGTAATTTGTCCGAGACGTACGACGGAAGCGCATACTGTCGACCCAAAGAGCTGATTCACGCTCTCAAGAAGTTGTTCACAAACCCATTTGGATTGTGCGTAGCCGAATGGTGCGGGGTCCGTTGCGTCTAGTGGGATTTCTGGTACTTGGACGATGGGGGTCTCCGAGGACGAGGATGAGGAAGGCAAAGTGGAATGAGA